AGTCCTCAGGAAAAAAATAAACTTCATCCAGGTCCAGAGTTTTCAGGCACTGACAAGCTGAGGACCAAACCTGGGAAAAGGAGACTCAGACACTAGAGAGAGGTTGAACATCACACACCAAGGCTGGCCTTAGGCTGCAGAACCGCCTACCTGCGGAGTAGTCGAGTGGGTAAAAAGACTGGTCATTTGAGAGTGTGGGAAGAGGGGAGACAGGAACAGAAAAGTTTCAGTGGTTAGGAGCTGATTGGTGAGCTTTGCTATTGGGGAAACACTTGTACTGAACAAATAGAAAAAAATAAGGTGAAATTATTCTATCACCCATAAATCAATTTCCTTTTAACATTCATGAGGTTTTTTATATTTTATTTTATTTGGTTTTTCAAGACAGGATTTCTCTGTAGCTTTGGATCCTGTCCTAGAACTAGCTCTCTTGTAGACCAGGCTGGACTCGAACTCACAGAGATCTGCCCGCCTCTGCCTCCCGAGTGCTGGGATTAAAGGTGTGTGCCACCACCACCCGGCTCATTCATAAGTTTTTTAAAAGACATTTTTGAGTTTATAAAACAAACCACAGTAGATGTATTTTAAAAGTATTTCAGGCTGATTGTGACATGCCTTTAACCCCAGCCCCCAAGAGCCAGAGGCAGGCAGATCTGAGTTCAAGGACAAGGGCTAGACAATGAGACCCTGTTTTAAAACAAAATTTTCATATTTTGTGGCATTTAAATTATCAAACTTAGAACCTTGAATGTACTATACAAGTATTTTACCACTGAGCTACATCTTTAGCCCTTAAAAATACTAAAGCGAGGTGACTTGCTTTCAAATAAAATGTTAACTGCCTATTTGATGTAACACCCCCTCCCCCTCTGTCTTTCTGTGTGTGTGTGTGTGTTAATGTGCTAGGGGAAAGATATGTTAAGAGCACTGGCTGTTCTTGCAGAGGACTGATACCCAGATTTCACATAGCTGCTCACAACAATGTGTAATTGGCAGGATCAAGGGGATTGGCACCCTGTTTTGTAGGCAGAGACTGCTCGTTTGTTCCTGGCTGCCCAGACCTGAGTCATCACACAGAAACTATATTAATTACCATACTGTTTGGCTAATGACTCTAGCGTATTCCTAGCTAGCTCTTACATCTTAAATTAACCCATTTCTGTCAGTCTATATCACCACCAGGCTGTGGCCTACTGGCAAGGTTCCTTAGGCAGCTACATGGCATCTCTTTGACTCTGCCTACTCTATACATCTGTTTCAGCCTGGCTATATTTTGCCTTGCCATAGGCCAAAGCAGCTTTATTCATTAACCACTAAGCAGCACATACACGGAAGGACCTCCCACATCATCGTTACAGCCTTCTTGCTGCATTGCCACATATGGTGAACCTACATAAATGTAGGCAAAATAACACACACACACACCTTTTAAAAATGGGTGCTGAAGGAAATGTGTGTCTCTCCTCCCAACTTCCCACTTTCTTCAAGTCCATCCTACTCTACAGACATTTTACCTTCTTAAAGCATTCTCATCCATAGAAAGGGTAACAGGATTGCCATCTTTTAAAAAGTAAGCATGTAACGAACAGGTCTGCATCAGGGGTTCCTTGGTAGGCTACCATCTGCTTAGTTCCTCTATGTGTGACCTTACTGATCCTCTGGGATGGATTACACTGCCATGGAGTGAGTGGACTTGGCTTAGGCGAAATAGGGAATTACGAACAATGTTTTCTGGCTTAGTCCTAAACGAGCAGCTCCCGTACCATACATAGTCATAAAATTTGTAGGGCTGATCACATCTGTCCTTCAACTGACATTTGAGAGCATATTATATACATAGCATACATTCATACACACACACATATATACACACATACACTTAGGGTGAAACGACAACTCTTACATGATGTCTACGTGTTCTGGGTAGAGGCTAATGACATGACTACAATGACCTTTCTGGCTTTAAACAAGTTCTGTTTGGTTTCTCTTGTGTCATGTGCTTGTTTCATTATAACAGTACAGTCTCTTTATTTAAAAAGTTAAGAGAAGGCTAGTTTTTAAGAGTTACAGCATAACCCTGCTAACTGCCCACAGATGTGGCATCTGGAAGGTCTACCCCCAAACACGGGAGAGCCTAAGTGTAGCCCTGAGGCTGCCTGCTTGCCACAGTTCACGAGGACAGCTCGTAAGCCTTTATGACATTCACACAGAACAGAGAGCCTTCCTTGTTTACACTCTCGTGTTGAACTTGAGGGTTACTTGATAGGCCAAATTCAGGAAGAAAAACAGTGCCAAAAAAATTGCTTCTGGAGTTTACCAAAATCTAAACTTTCTTTTCTGAAAGAAGAGAAAGGTAAGGGTTTCTGAGACATTTTGTGTGTTCTGGAATTGAAGCTTAGAATGGGGGTGTGGTGGGCAGAGATAGAAGAGTCACCACATCGGCACAGAGAAGGCCAGTGGTGTAGAATGTGCTGTGTGGACTGACTGCTGGGTAGCCTGAACCTCAGATCCTGTTACTGCGAGATCTCTCGACAACCTAGATGTGAAGAGTTGCCACAGGAGGCGCCTTGCTGCTGTCGGGAGGTCTTAACATGACTACATGACTTGAAGCTGGCCTTTTGGTTTCTGACCCATTGTGATCATTCTTGTTCTTGAGGCTTTCTCCACAACTCTGAGAGCTTAGCAACGCAGTCTGCAATTTAAAATTCCTCACTTGATTTGTCATGAAGAGCAGGCAGAAACGGACAGGATCATGGTTTCCCTAAGGTTGTAGAGCCAGGCTGCGGAAGAGCCGCTGTGAAGCCCGTCACTGAACTCTTATAAAGCAGCAGCAGCAGCAAGGTGCTTTTTATTTTTTTTTAAAGACCCTTTCTGCTGTCTCAGGTTCCTGTTGCCCTACCAGCGGGCAGCTAGGTGAGGTCTGGCTTCATGACCCACTTTTGGAGGAATTACCTGCACTCTCTACTTCTCTCAGCCTTCACAATCCCCTCTATGTTTTGGTTTCTGCTCTATAGTCCATTGAAAACGCTGATGTCAGCAGTGGCCTTTTCACTAAACCACAAACCACGTAAAGGGTGTCCGGCTCAGGTGCTCTGCTGTGGTACTACCCCGGTGACTTACTGCCAGCTAAGCTGCTCTTCCTGAGATCACCACAGCCTCCAGAGCAGTACTACCAACTGACGACTGAGCATCCAAAACCTGAGCCTGCGGAGGTGTTTGGTATTCAAATGATAACAAATCTTGTTTATCGATTCACTAATTGATAGACATTCGGGTTGTCTCCACCTTTTTGTCCTCGTGAGTGTGGCTGCTACGTATATTTGTGTACAAGTATTTACTTGGATTCTTGTTTCAAGCTCTTGCATATATACTTAGGAGTAGAATTGCTGGATCTGTTGTGCCCTTGATTTGAGAAGAAAAAAATGTTTTTCTGGATTCCTAGATGTGCGTTTTGGCCCTGCACCTGCTTGTGCCTGCGTTGGATTCTTCCCGTGTGAACCACTTCTCTTCCCATCAGGAGAATGGTAGCTCCAGCTAGCAGGATGTCTTTTGGAAAGATCAGCTGTGCCTCGTAGAGTAGAGATCTGCTGATTGACTAGAGAATGGATCCAGTCTCAGTTCTCATCCCGGGGAACACCAGGAGTTGATTACAAGTGCCAGGCTGAGCATACGGCAAAGACCATTCCTGTGTATCTACCTAGGCAGTCCGCTCCTTGACTTGCTCAGCTGGACTGGGAGGGGTGATGCCCATCCATGTCTCCGGCTCTTGGCTTGCATGAAGGCAGCTATGACCCTTGTGGTTCTCACGTGTTCATGTCACCTCGGCTACTTTCCCGTGGTGAGTTTGACCTTAGAGGTGAAACAAATAAAAACTTTTCTTGATAATAACACTGACGCTGTTAATTAAATACAGCCAAGTTACACTTAATCTTAATTTTTTTCAAGACCAAGGTTATATTCTTGTATTAGCTGGAAAGTCTCAGGTAAAATTTGAGCTTTAGGAAGTAAAAAATTCTGAGTAGAATAAGTGATAATGACTTAGATGTCACCAGCATGTTGTCTAGATCTCCAGTGACGGGCCCATAGTTTGTTTGAACAGGAGTCTGTCTCTTTATGTTAGTGGCGGGTTTCTCTTCTTTGATACTTGCATATTCAGCTTTTATCAAATGGGATAAGGTGTCTCTACTTACCAGCCCTGTTCTAGACTGATCTCCATCTTCAGGGTCGCATCTCAGGTTTTCGGGAGGAGTCTGGACAGATCTGTCTTCCTGTCCCGCTCTTTGTATCCGTGCCTCTCTCTGCTGACATTTGTAACAGGAGAAGGTTACAGTTAGGAGAGGCCCTTACCCACATTTTCTTTCCCTTGTGAAGCCCACAATAGTTTCCATTCCCCTTTTAATTCATTTTCGCTATGGTTTGGGTAAGACCACATTGCTTGCTGCCCAAATTATTTTCCAACTACCAAATTGCTAAGTAAGTCCCTGACAATTTCCCCCAACCATTTCCTCCATGTTTTTAGGCAAGCTGTCTTTTACAATACTCCTTATGATGATATAATTACAACATCAGTGTCTACACTTTTTGTTATAAATACCTACTAATTTTTTTTTTTGTGCTTCAAAATAATGTAAGTAGTTCTCAGGTATTAAAAGATACTATCAACAGGGTAAGTACTGACCGTTGAGGAAGAAATAGAGAGGAAGCAGTTTCTCTGAAGGAGCCACTAACTTCAACCCCCAGTGATACATCTCTGTATGTTTCTGCTTATTAGGAATTGGTGACTTCCCTACCTTCTTTTTGAACTGTTTTGTGAAACGGGAGGGTATGAAACGTACTCAGTAACTTTTCCTGTGTCTTGTGGAAACCTACTCTCTTTGGAGACAGGCAAATGGCCTTTGTGGTTAGTCACTCCATAGCAGCCGATTCTCTGCCCTGGAAACATTGTTTCCTTTGTGTGCAGCTAGAGATAATAAACATCAGGACACCACAGAAGGCTAGTGGGGATGGAAACCCGAGGACAGGACTATGTCGGGGGTGCAGAAATGTTTCTGAATTAAAAAATGCTGCGATTTCATCCAAACCTCCACACTTCTGAGAGAAACGAGGCGTTTGAAGGTTTTCTTGGGCAGGTTGGTTGGTTTTTCTCCCTCTGGTTTCACTATGGGTTGTTATCTTTCACTACGATTTACAGGCCTGGTTTTCGTTTCAAAGTTTAAACATGGGGCTTAGTCCGTCAATGGTCTTAATTCATGGGATCCACTTACCAAAATCATTCCTACCTAGTCATCCAGCAACGTTCAGGAAGACACAGGAAGGTCCGTGGTGAGCCATGAGGCTAGAATCGGGGCTGTTGGTTGGGCTGGTGGCAGGGAGAGACCGGGTCTTTGACAGAAGACGGGAGAGCTGGTGAAGATGGGGCATCTTAGAGATCTCCACAGTGAAGCCAAGGTGGAGTCTATCAAGGCCTTGCCAGAGCCAGTAGCTTTTCTCATTATCTGCTGTCTTGATCCCTTCTAAAGTTTCTCTTATGGGAAGTTCCTGAGCAGTGTTTCATTAACAAAGCAGGGCTATTTTAGTGGGTTATAGTGACATGACCAAATTCATGAATGATAGAGACATAACTTGTGTTCTCTCTCTCTCTCTCTCTCTCTCTCTCTCTCTCTCTCTCTCTCTGCCTCTCTCTCACCCCTCTCAATAACCTCTTTCCTCTCCCCATCTCTACCCCAAGCTGGCTTCAACCTGCTGCAATTCCTCTCCCCAGTACTGAGATTATAGGAGTGCACCATTATACCAAACTCATATTTTTCCCCCTGATTTTGTCCACCGAATCCCATCTTTCCTTTCTTTCAGTAGCGTTTAAGAATGAAAATGCCGTGAGGATTATTTTATATGGTCCCTTACATCTCATATGAGAATGACACCAATTTTAGAGACGTGTAAAATAACAAACAGTGCGCCGCTGAAATCCTGGGAACCGGGAATTCCTTTTCAGTGAGAAGTGTTAGGGGCGGACAGAACGTTTGCAGGAAGTAGAACAGTGTCCAGTGAAACCAGTCAGGGGTGAACAGGCACTTCCTGAAGAAGTGGGGGAAGTTACTGATAAAGAGCTAGGTGACCCACTCTGGGAGCTGAGACCAGATGTGCCAAGTTCAAGGCCAACATGGCGTGACAGAGTACAAGATCATTCTGGGATATTAGAGGGACCCTGTCAGGAAAAAAGTTTGTTGGATAGAGGTAATCCCATACTAGGGAAGCTAGCATGTCTATTTTACTTAGCACTGCCTCCTCAGCCTGTTTTGGTACAAAAAGCTGTCAATAAATATTTGTCGTATGATTGAGGAAAAGCGTTGTGGTGGTTTAATGGGAATGGTCCCCATGGAGTAGTGTATTTGAATGCTTAGTCACAGGCAGTGGAACTGTTTGAGAAGGGTTAGAAGGAGTAGGAGGTGTGGCCTTGTTGGAAGTGGGCTATGAGGTTTTAAAACCCCAGTCAGGCCCAGTGTCTCTCTGCTTTCTGCCTTTGGATCAGGATATAAAGTTCTCCACTATTGCTCCAGCACCATGCCTGTCTGCTTCCCACCATGATGATGATGCTCTAACCCTCTGAAATTGTAAGCCAGCTCCCAATTAAACCTTTTCTTTATAAGAGTTGCTTTGGTCATGGTGTCTCTTCACAGTGGTAGAATACTGGCCAAGACAGGCTACTAATGTGTCCTTCCAAGGAAACCTGCCGGCATTGGGCCATTGAGAGACGCCTTAACCCAATGCAGGCATTTTGGGACGCTTTAAATTAAAATTCCCTCTGCCTTCAGCACCTGCATCCTGCAAAGGAGTGAGTGCTGCTTCCATGCTGAGCTTTCTTCTTGACCGAGAGTGCGTGGCACTCTCTGGAGGCAGCTGACATTGATTAGTACTCCGATGTAAACACCCATACCTACAGATATGAAGACAGCATCCACGCATGAGAGAGAAAGAGATGTGTGTCTTTCCGGGCCTGGCTTAGCTCACTCAGAACGACTTTTGCTAGCTCCATCCAGTTACTCGCAAATTTAATAATTTTATTTCCCTCAACATTGACTAATATTCTGTGTGTATATGTATGTACTGCATTTTCACTGCCCATTCATCCAGGGATAGACATCTAGCCGTTTCCATATCCTGGGTATTACAAAGCATCAGTGAACATGGATGAGCAAATATGTCTGCAGTAGGATGTAGACTCCTTTGGGAGTATGCCCAAGAAGCGGTATAGCTGTGTCATACGGGAGATCTATTTTTAACCTTTTGAGTTACTTCCACGTGGATTTCTATAGTATTTTCACTTCCACCAAAAATGCACCCCCTTTTCCAACATTTGTTGTCTCCCCTCCCCCTGGAGCTGAGGATGGAACCCAGTCAGGGCCTTGTGGTTTGCTAGGCAAGTGCTCTACCTGTCGCTAAATCCCCAACCCTTTTGTTTTTGTATTAGTTATTCTGACAGGGTAAGATGAAATCGCAATCTCAAAAGTAGCTTTAATTTGCATTTTCCTAGTGACTAAAGATATTGAATAGTAAAAGAAACATTTCTTGTCTGTTTGCATTGCTTTTATTGAGAAGCCTTAAACTCAGAGAGATCCACCTGCCTCTGCCTTCTGAGTGCTGGGATTAAAGATGTGACCCACCACTGCCTGGCTTTTTAAAATCAGCACTTTTTTGTTTGTTTGTGTTTTGAAACAGGGTTTCTCTGTGTAGCTCTGGCTGTCCTGGAACCTGCTGTGTAGACCAGGCTGGTCTCGAACTCAGAGATCCATTTGCTTCTGCCTCCTGAGTGCTGGGATCAAAGGCATGTGCCACCACTGTCCAGCCAGTATGTTTGTTTTTATTACTGTATTTCTCTAGTATAATTTGAAATCTGGGATGTAAAACCTCCAGCAGTGTTTCTTTTATTGTTTATAATTCAGGACTGTTTTGGCTATCCTGGATCTTTTAATGAAGGTTGTGTTGAATCTAAAGATTACTTTTGGTCATTTTCACAATATTAATCATATCAATCCATGAATATGGGAGTTCTTTTCATCTGACACCTTATTTAGTGTTTTTCTTCGGTGATGTGGGAGTGTCATATATCAATCTGTTGATTTCATTGGTTAAGCAATAAAGGAACTCCTTGGCCGTGATAGGTTAAAAGATAGATGGGAGGAGGAAACAAAATAGAATTCTGGGCAGAAGAGGAAGTGAGCTCAGACTCTGCTCTGCTCCCGGAGAGACCGGACAGCTCTGCTCTCTGGAGCAGAGATACCATGGATGGAGGCTAGAATCTTCCCGGTAAGCGCACCTTGGGGTGCTTACACACATCATTAGAAATGGGCTAATCCAGGTGCGAGAATTAGCCTGGAAGGGCTAGAGTTCATGGGCCAAGCAGTTCTTAAATGAATACAGTTTGTGTGTTGTTATTTCGGGCATAAGCTAGCAGGCGGCCGGGGTGCTGGGGACGCAGCCCCGCTGCTCCTATTTCAACACTTCGGCGCCTTAAAAATTTTCATTATAGAAGTCTTTCCCTTCTTTGCTTAGATTTTTGCGATGGTTAATCTTGCTTGTCAATTTGGATGCATCTGGAATCAAGTAAAACGCAGCTACCGGGCGCTTGCATGGACAAGTCGTTTCCTTCATCCGATTATGTGAAGCGGGAAGACCTACCCTCACTGTGGGCGGCGCCTTCCGGTGGCTGCCCGGACCAGAAGAAACAGAAGAAGGAAATGACTTTGCCAGCTTAACCCAGTCTTGCTGGCAAAGTCACATATCCTGTTAGAACCTATCCAGCGTTAGAACCAAGTTCTTCAGAATTCCCATGCCAACCGAAGACCAGAAGCTCTCAAGGTGGTCTTCAGGCCATCGGCACTGCTGAGACATCCAGCCTGGATTGAATAATTACCGGATGCTTGGCCTCTCCCGTGGGAGACAGTCACTATTGGGCTACCAGGACCACATCCGGTAAGCCGACCTAATAAACCCTTTTTCCTATTCATCCTATCAGTTCTGTTTCTTTAGAGAGCCCAGCTAACACAGATTTATTTCAAGATAGTTTATCTATAAAATTTTAATGGTATTGTGAATGAGATCATTTCTCAGATTTCTTTCTTGGTATGTTTGTCATTGTGTCTGTCTGTCTGGCTATCTATCTATTGATTTATTTATTTATTTATTTTTGGGAGACCTTGATTGTCTTGTGTTACTTTTGTTTCTCTACTGGGAACTGTGTATCAGAAGTAGGTTTTTTGTTTGTTTGTTTGTTTTGTTTTGCTTTGTTTTTTTTTTTTTTTTTTTTTTTTTTTTTTTTTTTTTTTTTTTTTTTTTTTTTTTTTTCTGTCTCAAAGACAGGATCTTACTATGTAGCTTTGGCTAGCCTGGAAGTCATAGAGCTCTACCTGCCTCTGCCTCCTGCGTGCTGTGTCAGTCGGTAAGGGCCACCACGCCCGATGATCAGGTTATTTTTGTTTTAATTTCCTGATTAGCCTTTCTTATTGGTCAATCAGAACTGAGAGCAGTGGTTCTAGTTCTAAAATTCCTCCCCAGGTGTGACAGGTCACCCTCGCCTGGGTTTGAAAACCCTAGAGCATCCAGTGCTGTGCCAGGTCTCCAGTGTCTAATTGGTGCTGTTGTCCACAGCAGGACATGGAGGTTCCACGTCAAACAAACAAGCAGCAGGCTCTGTGTGATGTCACAGCCCATGTCTGCTGCAAGTAACTGAAGAAAGTTCTTTTTTTTTAATTAATTAATTTATTTATTTATTATGTATACAATATTCTGTCTGTATGTCTTCAGGCCAGAAGAGGGCACCAGATGTCATTACAGATGGTTGTGAGCCACCATGTGGTTGCCGGGAATTGAACTCAGGACCTTTGGAAAAGCAGGCAATGCTCTTAGCCACTGAGCCATCTCTCCAGCCCATGAAGAAAGTTCTTAACTTCCGGCTAGGATAATGGTCTCAGAGTCACTAGGCTAGCTTAGGATAGTTGCAGGCTGCTGGAGAGGTGGGTGGGTGGGCCAGGAAAGGAAAGCACAGAAGAAAAGAAACCGAGTTGAGTGAGGGAAGGGCACCAGGAAACTCCAAAGCGCCAGGACCACCCTTTTTGTCTGCCTGTCTCTCACATGGTTACTTAGTTGGTGGAACCCCGTTTCCTGTCCTGCAGAAGTGCCCCAGAAGTACTTCCTACAGCCTGAGCTTCTGCTGTATGGACACAGTCCCCTCCATAGTCAGTCATGTTCCACTAGCCAGGGCCCAAAGCGGTGGCAGGAGTAACGAAGGAACACCACTGAGTCTTAGCGCTGGGCCAGGGGCTCTGCCCACCCCTGAGTGGCACATTTTTATCTGAAGACAGAGTTTGACTTAGAACTTGGAACCAATAGCTACCTTTCTCCTTGGGGATATTGAAGTGGAATTTAAAGGAAGCAGGCTGGTAAGTCAGAGCCCTAGAAAGGGAAGACCAATGGGGTGATTGTCAGAATGTGGTTCGGCTCCTTTCTTAGGTCTTTCATGCCTTGCCTTTAAAATAATGAGAATCATCCCATCTTCGGGGGTCTTCAAATGATTAAGTGAGCAGGCACAGGTCAAGTGCCTGGCGCCTTGTTGGCACTCACAAACGGAGTTGTTACCAGTTCAGAGATGTTATGGCTTGGATTGGAAACGTCCCCCCACACGTTAGTTTTTGAATGCCTTTTCCCAGCTGGGATGCTGTTTTGGGATGGTTAGGACTCAGGAGACAGAGCTCCCTGGAGAGAGTTAGCCACTAGGGTTCTATGGGACAGTTACCTATTCCTTTGGCCCCGGCTTTGCCTTCTCATTCCCGATCTCCTTTGCTGTGACCAGCCATGGTGCAGGCTCCACCTGACTCCCCTGCTCTTGTGGACTAAACTGTCTAACGGTGTGAGGCAAAATCGAGACACTTTTATTTATCTAAAAATATTCTAAAATTAATACAACTTTGTTTTGCCTTTTGGGTCTCAGAGAAAGGGAATTTAAGGGTTTCTGTTGTTGTTTTGTTTTTAATCAAAGATGTGTCCATTAGTGTTTCCATTATAAGATGAATGTTCTAAGTCAGCAGGGGGCTATTATGATGTATAAAAACTTTACTAACCATCAATTCCTGAATTAAATCTCTCTGGGTAGCTGGGTTGGTGTCAGGTGGGCATGAACCATGGAGAGATGTCATGTAGAGGTAGTATAGCAAACATCCTCGGTGCTTCCCATGACCACATCAGTTTACTGTGCGCGGTAGAGTCGGCATCCCAGACACAGCCCACGTTCTCTATTCTCCTAATTTAAACAATCATGTTAAACCTGGGGGAGACAGTGACCCTGCTTTTTGCTCTCACCGAGGAGAGACTCTAGGGGCATGACTTCCAATCGGTTGTCTTGCCCAATTCCTTCTTTAAATGCTTCCCCTACGTCAGACTACTGCGCCTCCTACATCTGGTTTGTGCATGGAGACACCCACAAGCTTCTTCTGCTGTGCTGGCTGGCTCAGGTCTCACCTTGTGGTTCAGCCCCTCGGAGGTTGCGCTTGCTGCCTGGAGGAGCCGTCGACTCCGCAGACAGGGAGTGTTTCATGGCACCCCCTTTTCCACACCATCTGTCTGACCTGGACCCATTCCAAATACTCGGGCTCTGCCAGCGGAATGGTCTCTCTGCTACAGAAGCTTTGTAATCTGCTAATTGACAGGGTACGGAAAATTTACATTTGGGTTACAGCTGAAAAGTTGGATGTTTCTTTGATGGGACTTTAAATGCCGACATATGCTGTGTTGGTGTTTGATTTTAGGCATCCCTGTTTGTGCACAATCCAGTGCCCTCCCCTGTGCTCTCTGCCTCATTGAGAGCGTGACATCCTCAGGAGAAGAGCACCCATATGACCTACCAGGGAATTAGCCTCTACTTCGTTTACTCATTAGCAATGATTTTATTATTATAATCTCTCTGTAGCAGGAGACAGATGGCAAAGGACTTGGCTTTATTGAGCAAGATGCAGGATTGGGCATAGCCTGGCTCACTTAATGGCGAACATCCTCAGGACTCACGCAGCTTATAAGCATCTTTGCATCGATACAGGGCCCGGTCCTACCTTCAGCGCTCAATGCCTGTGCAAAGCTGTTGACATTTCTTTTTTTCTTCACAAGGGTGGCGGGCAGCGGAACCCTAAGGCAGCGTCGTTAGGCTCATGCTGTTCGAGTTGACACGCGTGCTTGTTCTCGCTTTGAAATGCTGCTTGAGGACCCGGTGTGAACAACAGTGCGGTCACACCTACTGATCCAGACTCACGCGCCCAGAGCTCCGCCTGGAAGCCAGGAGCACAGTGTCATAACGTGCCCCTGGACTCTGCAGGCGGCTCTCTCTGGCGCCCGCCGCCAGCAACCTGTACTTGAGCGGTGAAGGGAAGACGAGAATGGGAGACGATTTCTTCCCTACCTTTGAAAACTTCAAAGTTCTTCCCAGTCTGGTTCTGATGATCCCTGTCTCAGCGCAAAGCGCACATAAAGGTCTGAAATCCGCACGCTGATCGGAAATAGTTTTTTTTAGAAAGTCAGGTTTAATCCCATGAGCCAAATGATCACTACCAACGGCGATCAGGGAAAACCAAAGTCCACGGCAAACTCTAATTTGGCAAATGCATAAAAGGTTCAAAAGAGCAGAGGTCTCATTTACATTCCTCGCTCTTGTATGGGATTTTCTCCTGTCTTAGTAATTAAAGGGTCCAGGCCACGGAGCGCAACTGTATCACATAATAGCCATCGGGAACACGCTAACAACTTCCTTGAAGTAACACACACTAGGGTGTTTATGGTTCGGTGTCTCATGGACTCTCTTTGATCTAAATTAGGATTCATTGGCAAACTCACAATAGGCTCCACATGTACCCCTCTCAACCTCTTTCTTTTAATCATGGAAATTAGAGATGGAAAATATCCATTAAGTCACTTAGTCCATTTCCCTGCCACGGTGAAATAGTTGCCTGGGATTCGGGGGGTAATGCTCCGTCCAGCTCACGCGTACATGTCTCCTGGGACACGAGGGCTCTCCGTTTTATAATTTCTTCCCTTAAAATTCAGAGGGGGTAAAATATAAAACGGAGAAAAGCTTCCTCCGTCCTTATGGCTTGGAGGTAGTGATGCCATGGTGAGCGAGTGTGTTTGCCTGGCGGGGGCTTTCTGAAGACCCTTCCTTTGCTGCCCCGGTTTCTCTATCCATCACCTACACAGATGAGAGAGAGCAGTCTTCTCTCCAACTTGTTTTACTCTTCAACCTGGTGGAATGGTCCAGGTTCCTGAACCTCCCTGTCAGCTTGAGCTAGCAAGTTCTCTACTCCAGCAGCTGGAGCTAGCAAATTCTCTTCTCTGTCAGCTTGAGCTAGCAAGCCCTCTAGGGGTAGGAGGCTGGGAAAGGGGAGGCTGCTTTTTTTAAGCTCCACAGGGAACCTTACAAGCTGCGCAGCCCTGACCGAAGCACAAGGTCACTGACGCAGCGTGAGCTAATGACTGGACCGCTGCCTGGCTTGTGAGTGGCCTGTTGCAATATTTTATACTTTGGACATTGGGCATTGGAATGATACGAAGTGTGTGTCATTGCACACTTCTCTGACTCAGGTTCAGCAAACGAAGGAAGAAGCTTGTCTTTCAGCAGCTGCCTGCAGCATCTCCAGCTGCAGAGGTCAGCTTTATGGGAAAGCCACAGAACCCATTGACCACACCTGCAGTGGGCTTTCTGCAGTGCCTGAGATGAGATGACTGAAGAGCTAACATCCTCTGTGAGATTTGCGTTTTAGGTTTGTTTGAGAGGTTCTGTTAAAATTTGATAAGGGGGCATTTCAAATTCTGATCCAGAGTGTGATCATTTGAATTATAAGATGGAAGTCCCCCCCCCCCCCAATTCACCATGGGCTTCAGTAAAGAGCTGATTTCCCACAAGCATTTGGAGAGGGATTCAGGACTGCAAAACC